CAAGATGAACCCAGTTTACTAGAAACTTAAAGGACCACTCTAGGCACCCAGACCACTTCTGATTAATGAAGTGGTCTGGGTGCCTGGTCCAGCTAGGGTTAACCCATTTTTTTTATAGACATAGCAATTTCAGAGAAACTGCTTTGTTTATAAATAGGTTAATCCAGCCTCTAAAGCCTCTAGTGGCTGTCTCAGTGAAAATCACAGTGAGAAGACGCCAGCATCCATAGGAAAGCATTATGAATGCTTTCCTATGAGACTGGCTGAATGCGAGCGCAGCTCCTGCCGCGCATGCGCATTCAGCCTAAGAGGAGGAGAAGAGGCGGAGAGGAGGAGGAGAGCTCGCCCGGCGCTGGAGAAAGGTAAGATTTTAACCCCTTCCTCTCCCCAGAGCCCGGCGGGAGGGGGTCCCTGAGGGTGGGGGCACGAGTATGTTTTCCTGGCACTATAGTGGTCCTTTAATGGTAATCCCATCCAGACATAGGGAACAGATATTGAAAGTATCGCTAGGGAAGCACATGACAAATTCATTATTGATGATGATCTCTTTAAGTTTCTAATTGTTGATTTTCCTGTTACTTCTGTCATCCAAATGGTACATTCCTCCTTGGACAAACCACCGGAAGACAGGCCCGGGCATTTTTCAATCACAGCGGCCCCCTGAGGAACATGAGAAGGTGGACAAATACCAATGAGTGAAAGGAAACTAGAAAGGATGTGGAAAATGAAGACAGTAGTAGTCCCAGTTCTGGTAAGAGCACTGAGGGCAGTGACCACTAAGTTGAGGAAGTGGCTTCAGCAGATTCCAGGTGGGACATCTAAGATCGCTGTCCAGAACAGTGCAGTTCTAGGAAGAAATGCTCAGAACCCTCAGACTCCCAGGCCACTGGTAGAGGAACTGAGAATGAGGAATACACAAAAATACCACCTGGAGGGGTGAGAAAGTAATTTTTTTACATTATATATATATATATACATATATATATGTGTGTGTGTGTGTGTGTGTGTATATATATATATATATATATATATATATATATATATATATAGGTTTGTATTCTGTCCTGATGAAAGTTCCCCAGTGGAACTGAAACGCTGACTACTGGAATAAAGATAAGGTTTTGGATTTTTTGCAAAATTCCTGGGAGTGCTGATTCTTTTTTGCTATATCTATTTAGTGCAATCAAATTTGGTTTATTTAAATGTATATTGGAGTGCAAGGTCTTTCTGTTTTTATATATATATTTATTTATATTTTATAAAAATGGTTAAAGTAACATATACAGGCATTCTCCCCCCTAAAAAAATAATTAAAATAAATAAATAAAAAAAATAGTAAAGATGTAAAGGAAAACTTACTTTTGATCCAATACTAAGGCCACGTTTTGTCTGCAGCCTAATCATTTTATAGTGATATTACTCCTATAGCACAGTATGTTTGTTGGCAACAGACGCCAAATATTCATAGATTTAACATTAACCAGCCTAGAGCTCTTGTTCCGGGCTGGTTAGTAATGCTAGCTGGAGGGGACATCACACCTCTGGCAGCAAAGGGCATTAAAGGAGCACTATAGTGCCAGGAAAATAAACTTGTTTTCCTGGCACTATGTAGTCTTTAGGACCTCCCCCCCCTTCCTATGGATGAATCACAGAAGTGGCCTCTAGTGGCTGTCACTGAGACAGCCACTAGAGCGTGGATTAACCCTCAGTGAAACATAGCAGTTTCTCTGAAACTGCTATGTTTTCAGCTGCAGGGTTAAAACTAGAGGGACCTGGCACCCAGACCACTTCATTGAGCTGAAGTGGTCTGTGTGCCTATAGTGGTCCTTTAACCCCTTAAGGACCACATGACATGTGTGACATATCATGATTCCCTTTTATTCCAGAAGTTTGGTCCTTAAGGGGTTATCTTGCTATGTGCAATGGTTTTTTACTGAAACACACACTCCAAGCACCAAGACCACTTCAAATCACTGAAATGGTCATAGTGCTTGAAGTAACCCTTTAACTACTGCATGACAGTAAAATCCTAACATTAAAATGTAAACATTTATGGTACTTATTAAAATAAAACATATTTGAGAAGAAGAAAAGGAAGCAATTATTGCATTTTTCAGTCATAAAAATAAATTTTCTGTATCCAATAATCTGTGAATAATTGGTGTCTGTTGTCAGCAAAAATACCATGCTAACGAGGGACAACACTAAGGATCTGTGCTGCTCAAGTACTTCTTCAAGCTCCCTACTTCCTGACAATGAGGAGGAGTAACATCACTGTAAGATGATTTTGCAGCATGGTGATCATGGCCTCAGCGCTGGATCAAAACTTTTCCAAATGTTTTCCTTTTATATCTTTTTTTTTGGATGTGGGTCCATACCAGCATGGATTATTTTAACCAAATTATTGGTGAAGCATGTACTGCACATGAGTAATTCAGGAGATTATTATTATTATTATTGCCTTATATATCGCACCAACAGATTCCGAAACGCTTTACAAAAAACTTACAGGAACGATAGGTTGGAGAGGACCCTGCTCAAATGAGCTTACATTCTATAGATGGATTGAAACACAAGACTAAAACTGAACCTGAGTGAGGTGGCATGCATGCAATGGCATGGGAGTCCAAAAACACTGAGAACTGCTTGTCTGCATAGTATCTCCCTGGACTGAAAAGGAAGGTGGCTACATTGTATACTTTGTTGCAAAATGAAATATAAAGCAGTTCAGAGGAGGGGCGATATCAGTTTCTCAGTAAAGTGAGGAGTGAGATCGTGCTTATTTCCCGCCCACCCTCCCTATAGTGCTTTGACTGTGTATTGCGCTTGTTCTGGTATGTTTCTTGGGTCTTGTTTTGTTCTTTCTTCTCGTTGTCACAGCTGCAGCGGTGTTCCTGGCCAGCGCATTGGTAATTGAAAGACATTGATGAGTCAACTTGGGGAGTCGCAGCCTGCCGAGGGCTGATGGCGGTAGGCAGGCTGATATGAACTCATGGACAAAGAAGTGGTACCTGCCTGTTGGGAGAAGTCTCTCAACAGCTGGCAGTTGGATGGAAAACTGGTCTGTGTTAAAATTAATAAAGCTGTTGCCGTTGCCCTGTGTGGTGTTATTATTTATGTAGGGCAACAGGAGGTGGGTTTTTGTTTTTTTTTGGATCAGCAGTCATGTACCACTAAACACAATGTATGCTTTTTTTAATCAATGGATTTTACACAAATTAGCATTTTTTTTTTACTCTGTGTGCACATCAGTAAATGTAAATATATTACTTGAGGATGTATCGCTATTTGCTTTTAAATGTCTACTGTCCATGTGAGAATTTTAACCTATTCCTGTAAAGAGAGCGCCCAAAGGCAACTGACACCTGTACAGAGTCTGTACACCTCTTTTGTTCCTGTGAGACTGGGAATTTAAAGGGAGAGACTGCATAACCATATAAGTACTGCCAGGGCCGCCATCAGGGGGTTACAACCATGACGGTTGTCACGGGCCCCACTTTCCCTCTCTGCACACATAGATAGCGAATATCGCTATCTATTTGTGCAGCCACGGGCCCCCGGCTCCCTGTTACCGCAGATGGGGCCCAGCACACTCTACTCTTCTCTTCTAAAAACTCTCGCGAGACCTGGTTACCATGGCAACGCTCCGCGTGTCTCGCGAGAGTTATTAGAAGAGAAGAGTAGAAGCAGTGTGCTGGGCCCCCTCTGCAGTAACAGGGAGCCAGGGGGGCACCCATGCCACCAGACCACCAGGGATCATGGAATCTCCCCCCTCCCTGGTAAGCAGGGAGGTCGGAGAAACATTTAATTTAATGTAATATAAAATTAAAAAAAATAATGGGAAAATGCCCACCCCTCCCCCTCTAGTTTGCACATTTACACACACACTGCATACACTAACAACACACAGTCTGCATACACTAATACAACACACACTCTACATACATTAATACAACACAACACAACACACACACTGCATACACTAACACAACACACACTAATACAACACACACACTGCGTACACTAATACAACCCACGCACTGCACACACTAATACAACACACACTGCATACACTAATACAACACACACACTGCGTACATTAATATAGCATGCACTCTGCATACACTAACACAACACACACTGCATACACTAATACAACACACACTACATACACTAATACAACACACACACTGCATACACTAATACAACACACACTCTGCATATACTAATACAACCCACACTCTGCATACACTAACACAACACACATACTGCATACACTAACACAACACACACACTGCATACACTAATACAACACACACACTGCATACACTAACACACACACTGCATACACTAATACAACACACGCATTGCATACACTAACACAACACACACTCTGCATACACTACACACTAACACACACTCTTCATTCGCTACACATTAACACACTCTGCATTCACTACACTAACACACACTCTGCATCCGCTACACACTAACACACTCTCTGCATTCACTACACATTACACTAACATACACTCTGCATCAGCTACACACTAACACACTCTCTGCATTCACTACACATATTAACACATTCTGCATTCACTACACTAACACACACTCTGCAACCACTACACATTAACACACACTCTGCATTCACTGCACTAACACACACACTACATTCATTACACTGACACACTCTGCATTCACTACACACTAACACACACTCTGCGTTCACTAAACTATGCACACACTCTGGATTCACTATACTGACACACACTCTGCATTCACTACACTAACATACACTCTGCATTGTAAGAATAGAAAAGAAGAAAGGGTGGCGCTAATAGAAAAATGTGCTACTAATATAGCATGCAGCAAAAACACCTTAGTGTATAGTCACTACATACACTTACATATGCAAATGAAAAAACAGGAGAAGGTGATTGCGCAGGTAGTTTATAAGTCCACAAATTTGTGGTACGTCCCTAGGTTCTGTAAAAATAGAACACCAACATAGGGTAGTATGTCAAACATATAATATTCAATTGAGAAGCTTGGAAAAACTCACAATTTACTGAGCATTTATAAGTTTGCTCTAAACTATATAGCTGGAGTGAATCATTCAGATGTACATGGATCCAATGTATAGGTCCCCCAGGAGGTGTTTGCAGTCCTCAAGCAGGTAAATCAGGAACCAGGTAACCGGGTACAAGTAGAAAATAAATTTATTATAATAAAACACAATAAAAAGCACAACGCGTTTCGACCCAACAGAGAGGGTCTTCCTCAGGTGCAGGTATAAGTTACAATGGGAGATATTCACAATTTATAAGGCAAACAATTAACAATCAATTACAGGTGTATAAACAATAAGTCCCTCCCCTTAGTAGTATATAGGTGATGTTCCAGCCTCTTTCCGCCACTTCCAATAATCACACAGTAATGACGAAACCGGAAGTGACATAACCGGAAACCGGACAAACCGGAAGTGACGAACACAAGCTGGCCGTGTATGGCGGCCATGTTGGGAAGGTCACAATGAACACTATAGGATTCCACAATTGGCTGACATGTTGGAAGTGGCGGAAAGAGGCTGGAACATCACCTATATACTACTAAGGGGAGGGACTTATTGTTTATACACCTGTAATTGATTGTTAATTGTTTGCCTTATAAATTGTGAATATCTCCCATTGTAACTTATACCTGCACCTGAGGAAGACCCTCTCTGTTGGGTCGAAACGCGTTGTGCTTTTTATTATGTTTTATTATAATAAATTTATTTTCTACTTGTACCCGGTTACCTGGTTCCTGATTTACCTGCTTGAGGACTGCAAACACCTCCTGGGGGACCTATACATTGGATCCATGTACATCTGAATGATTCATACACTCTGCATTACCTGTACACACAGCATCCACTACACAAACATCCTGTATTCACAGTACACACACTACATCCACCACAAATTGAAACACTCTGCATTCACTATACACAGACACTGCGTCTAATACACACACTGCATCCACTACAGACACTGCATCCACTAAACACATTTCATCTAGTACACACAAACTCTACATCCAATACACAAACACACACTACATCCACTACTCAAACACACTCTGCGTTCACTATACACACTGCATCCGCTACACAAACACACACTTTGCATTCACTGCACAAACAGTATCTAATACACACAAACACTACATTCATTACACACATTCTAATTCACTTCCACTATACACACCACATTCAGTCTTGCATCATTGTCAGCAGACTAGGTAGGGCATGGGCGGATCCGGGAGGGGCTCCAGACCTTGTGCTTTGTCCAAAATTTCTGATGGCGGCCCTGAGTGCTGCAATGTATTAGTTCATTGATGTGTTTTATCTTTATTTCAGATGTGCAACGATATGACCATTTAAAAAAATTAAATCCTGTAAGTGCCGACCATAAAAGTCAAAACACGTCCGAGCACCCCGGGAAAGTAGCCTATGCTAGTCTAGGTGCTCTGGTCCCCCTGGTAAGTGCAGATTGTTTTTCCTGAATACTACTTAGGTAGAAAGTTTTTGCCGAGGCCGAGGGTGTTTTAAAGGTCAAATAACTATTTGCCTAGATCAGTGGTAGTCAACCTTTTTCTACCTACCGCCCACTAATGCATCTTTCTTGTTGGAAAAATTTCCTTACCGCCCACCAGTTTTCGTGCAAGTGCGGAATATTTTTTTAGAAAGGAGGGTGTTTTAAAAAAATTTAATGTATGTACATTTATCTTTTTATTTCTACTTTATGCATGTTTATAATGTTTTTAACTTTATAAAGTTTAATGAGAAAACAATAAAGTAAATTGAAATTACCTTTACTAGTGATTAAAGAGATCCTTGAGGGTGATGCTGCGAGACTAAATATTTGATATCTGGTTCGATTTTTGTAAGGAACAAACAAAGGTCTCCTCTTTTGGTGATATTCAGACGACTTCTCTGTTTGCTCATAATATGATTTCTCATCTGTGCGTCAGCTCCCCTCCTCTCCCTCCGCAATTCTCCTCCCCCCATTCCCCCCCCTTTTTTCTATTGTTTAACCTTCCTTATAGCAATGCCCAGTAGGAAGGCTGAGCTAGGTAGCCCACTTACTATTACTTACTATAGCCCACAATAACAGACAAGACACACATACATACAAAGACACATACATACAGACAGGCACACATATATACAAAGACACATACATACAAACAGACAGGCACACATACATACGTACAGACACACACAAGACACACATACATACAAAGACACATACATACAACCATACATACAAAGACACACACATACATACAAAGACACATACATACAAACAGACAGGCACACATACATACATACACGCACATATGCAGACATACATACAGACAGGCACACACACATACAGACAGGCACACATACAAAGACACATACATAAGATACACATACATACAAAGACAAGACACAAATACATACATACACACAAGACATACATGCAAAGACACACACATAAGACACACAAGACATACATACAAAGACACATACACACACACAAGACATACATACAAAGACACACACACACACACAAGACATAAATACAAAGACACACACACACACGACATACATACAAAGACACACACAACATACATACAGACACATTCACACAAACAAACACACACAAAATATTTTAGTCACCCTCCTGTTTCCTACCTTTTAGGTGCAGGAGGGTGACATTCCCTGGGGTCCAGTGGTGGCTCAGGTGGATTGGAGTCAGAGTTCCCACTCTGACTCCCTCCTCCTTCCTCCCGCGCGGTCTGTGTGTTAGCTGGGAGGAGTGACGTGCAGTCACTTCCTTCCAGCTCTGTGATGTAATCACAGGGGGCCTGGTCGCGCTGTTAAAGCGCCCATCGCTGACCGGGCCCCCTTACAATCCACATCCATCAGGTGGCCCATGCTGTCAGCTTGGACAGCGTCCGCCGGGGCCGCAAATGGTGATGGCGGGTACCCAGTCACAGGGGTACCGCCGGCTCGCACCCGCCCAATCTCTCAAAATGAGGAAATCCCTACCACCCACATGGAATCCTGAAACACCCACTAATTCACAAGAACTGAATCGTAGAAAAACAGAATATTGCACGTATACACATATAAGAAAGTATGTTTTACTAGAGTAAACTTGTTTTTCTTCAGTGACTGGAATCTGAACTTGTTCTATTTTAAACTGAGCAGATTTACTGTTTAAAATGTAATGCTCGATGTCCTAGACAGAACCCAGAGAATTGTTCCTCGAGAAGTTTAAACTTAACAAAAAAAACAAAACATGCTGGACATCATTCATCATGTTTGTTGCTGATCTGCACGTTTCAGATCTGCTGACACCGTGCGGGGACTTTACATATCTGGGATAAAAAAATGTGTGTGCAAAAGTACAGTGCAGTAGGATGAACTTTACATTTACAGGTAAGTCACATGAAGTCTAAGTCATATTTTGGTTCAAATTAGTTTATTATGAAGTCAAAATAAATAATTTTCATTCTTTATGATAATAAAGATATTTGTACCTTAGCTTGACATATTTTAAATTGCTATTTAAATAAATACTTGTTGATTTTATCATTTCTTAATGACACAGCGTGACAAAGTGTGCATGAGGGATGGTATTTAACAACTCCCAAAAAATGTAAATGGGCCTATACATCAGCTTAGAAATTATGCTTTCACCTACATTTACAAGGGAGATTTTGATCCTTTTTTAATTGAATGTACATTGGTGTGCATCACAATATCACACAAAGTTGCAGTAGTGTCAAATATAGAGGCAGTGAAAGGAGAATGACTGTATTATTGGAAGTGCATATACCACATATGTGAGGATAGTTTTTATATAGATATGTTGTAGCAACAAAAAAGATTTATTCAAAAAATAAAAGTAACAGACAAAAAAACAAAAACAGCAAGAACCTCTAAGGACATCTCCTCAGCTAACTCTCCACTAGTCTGGCTGGAGAATCAGCAGTGGCCTCGAATGTGCAAAGTCTCGAAGGCAGACAACAGTGACCTATGCCCCGAATATAAAGCTGCCCCCAAAGGGAGAGAGATTTAGCACGCAAAAGCTGCAAAGGAACATGCCACAGGGAGATAAAATTGCCCCATAAGCAAGTTTTGGAGTGGTGGGTTGCCCACATTTGGAATTAGAAGGTCAGCCTGGCGTGAATGCATGACAGTCCGCCTGCCAATCATGCATTCTGGCCAACAAAGGGCATACCATGCAGGCCTCACCCTGAGCTTGGCATAAAAGCATTCCATGATGCACTCGCTTTCTAAGGCCTGTCCCCTAGCACTCACTTGTCCATTCATCTCCTTTCCTTCCAACTAGCATGCAGAGGCTTCTGTTATAGTGTCTGGGATAGAGGAAAGGTGTATATAGTGAGGGTAGATGAAAGGGAACATGTCATAGTGTTAGTGAGACTGAAGCAGCAAGAGCATTCATAGTGCGCAAAGTCAGCTCTACCTTAACTAATTTCATTGTCAGCCAGTCCACACAAGTTTTGTTCCCCTACATCCCTCTTAAGTCTGCATAATTAATGAAAAAGCATGTGAAGCTTAGTAAAAAAAAATTATTTTAGCAATGGGCTTATTCCATGGGCATGGGCCTGGAGCTGCAGCTCCACCCCAGCCCCTATGTTAATCTGGCCTTGCACATAGGGAATGTGGGACCTGGGACTGCCAGAGCAATCCGGGCCCCCAAGACCGCCAGGCCCTATTGGCAGCCTTGTATTCTTTACAACATTTATTGAAAAATGTACTTTCATAATTTCTTTTGTCTTTTGAAAATTTGTATTTAATATAGAACATTTACATCTGTGAAATTATTGGATGGGTGTAGTATTTTGCACTCTCTGTATACAGAAAATAAGGCAGGTTGGTATATTATCTCTGTAAAATACATAGCCAAGCCTGTTCTACTGGTATTGGCTGATTACCTGCTACCTGTCTTACAAAGCAATCAATGCACTATTTAGTTTTCCTCCTCCTCTGCTCCTTGGCCTGCCCACTATCCTCTAACCTATCCCCTGACAGACAGCATCTAATGGGAGGGAAATTGGAGAAACATACTTTTCTCCAACTTGCAGCTTTGCCTGCCCAACCACCCACGGGCCATCTGGCAACAGCTCTCTCCACACTGTCGTGCACCCCCTTACTGATTACTGGAGCATGCAAATTCACACACGAACACGGCGGAGCTCTGGTAACCCGGC